CCCCCCTCCATACAACCCCCCCCCCTACAGCGAATTTTCCCTGCAAGGACCGCACCAATCTCTGGCTGGGCCGCTCCTCGTCAACGCCCAGTACCTGATCCGTCTCCAGTTTCCCCTGGCCTACAATTTCCTCCTTATGCTTCGCTCTCCGTCCTCGAAACAAACGGCCTTCCGGCATCTGATGAGCAACATGGCCGTAGTCCCTCTCTTGGGAAGAGGCTTCAGTGTCTATGCACCCCTGATGATGGTCGTCTTGGCCGCGTTCACCTACTTCAGGGGATACGCCCGGCTACTGAGGTTGGTCGGGGCCTACCACGAGGACCTGATATCCGGGGAGGAGCAAGAGGAGATGATCCAGCAGGGGCGGTCTCTGGCCCGGAGGAGACGATATCCGCTGCCATCTGCAGGGGGGAACAACAGACCAGGTCGTGGTGAGGATGGGTTCGCGAGCGGCTCAGTTAGCTTGAGTGGCAGCGGAGGTGGGGGGAAGGCCACGACGGGCACCATGCGCGTTCAGCAAGAACTGCCACCGGGCCCTTTGAGGGGTTCAACGGCGGCTTATACGCAGCTCAAGACGTAAAGGTGGGAAGAAATGGGTGAAGGCAGGGTAGGGGGAGCTTTTGCGCACGATGGAGGAGGCGGAGGAATGAGAGAGAGTCGGCTGCGGCGTAGGCTGGGGTAGGCTGTAGAATGAAAGCACGACGAATATTTCTGTACAGAAAAGCAAATTAAATGGCATAAGATCGATCTTATCCTTAACTGAACATTCCCTCAACCGGTGGACACATTTTGTTTTTCAATATTATTTTTGGGGACAGCAACGACCATCATCCGCACAGGAGAATTTTTTGGTAACATGAGCCGACATCTCCAATGTACAATTCAAACTATGACTATAGCGGACTCTTTGTTGTCGACCGCATGCACAAACTACATGATACTGCAGCTTTCCCGTTCGCTGGACTTCTGCATGTGACCGTTTCGGTTTGTGTCGTCCTTCAGGCGGCTTGTCTCTGCAAAGGCCACGGGAGAGGACGCAGATCCTGACTTGGGTGCGTGCGAGGGTTGAATGCTTTCATTCCTGGCTTGCCGTACGGGCGAAAACGCTGAGAGCGCTGCCATTCCCGAAACCAGGGCACTCGGGGACTGATTCGAGGATGGCGAGCTTGAAGCACTGCCGTCTGTGGGCAGTCCGACGTTCAACCCCTCGCAGGGGCTTCCCCCCGTGCTACCACTCAAGCTTGTCTTCTTCCTGCTGATGGGGCTCATTTTAGTCCAACTTCCTACCATGCTTCTGCTTTTTTGATGGACAGTTGACTGTCCGCGAGGGCTTGTCTCCAAGCCGCCGCTGCCCAGGGACGAAAAGGAAGAGAAAATTGCCGGTGGCAGGAGAAGCGGTGACGGCGCATACGATGGGCGCCTTTCATCGTTGCTACGACTCAAGTCCTGATTTGGGTCTGGGCTCTTGGTATCGGAGGAGCGGCTGTGGTCGGGTGACTGGGCGGGAGAAACACCGTGCGAGGGGGTGGGGGAGTAGATGCGGTTAAGAGAGGCTCGAGCCTCACGCAGGCGTTTGGTCAGACGCCTTTTCAGTTTATTGACAAGGACGAAGTTATTCACCGACTGGATGGCGCCGTCGATTTCGTCGGCAGAGACCTGGACAGTCGGAAAAGAGTACGCGTGGGCGCGCAATGTGGAATGGTGTCTTGCAGAAGTTGGGGAAGGAGGGTTCACAGGCAAAAGCGCACAGGGCCTCGCTTCGCTTTGATCCGGGTCCACGGTTACTATCGGAGGGAGATTGGCGTCTGTTATACACTCGTCCTCGCCTTTCCCTGCCCGTGTTTCATGTTCTTCCTCTTCGTCAGCAAGCTGCACCCACGGGTGATCCAGAGCCTGCCCCACCGTGATCCGCTCCCGCGGCAATTTCTGGAGGAAACGTCGCAACAAGTCTTGCACTTCGGAGCTTACTTGTCTCTCTTCAAGAGGGAAATCAAGCTCCTTGTCTCGAATGGCTTCAAAAAGCACCTCGGGCGAGTCTTCCTGGAAAGGGAGCTTGCCGAACATAAAGGCCCAGAGACAGACCCCGGCCGCCCACACGTCGCAGCTGTAACCTGAGAATGTCGCTCCCTGCTCGCACATTTCAGGTGCCCAGAAGCTCCATGTTCCGTCGGATTTATGCAAGAGACCTCGGGATGACGATCGATACAGGTAATGGAGCTGGTGCTCGTGCGAGGAGACGCTGGGGGACGTCGTCCCTGTCGCCAGCCCTTCCCTGCTTGCGCCAGCCCCGGCCTGGTCGTCCAGAGCCAAGATACGCGCTGCTTCCTCTTCGAAGTGGTGCGCGACACCAAAATCAGCTATTTTGCACCGGCCTCCGCGGCCCACCAGCACGTTCTCGGGCTTCAGGTCTCGGTGGGCAATATGATGCACGTGTAGGTAGACGAGCCCCGCCAACATATCGCTCAGCACTCTCGCCGCGTGGACCTCATTCAAAACGCCCATTCCGTCAGAAGACCGAGGACACACGTACCGACGCTCCTCCGCGTCAAAGTCCATGATCGGGCCGCCGGGCACGTATTCGAGCACCAAGTACAAGGCGTCCTGGCTGGCATCGTCGATGACCTCATAAAGGCTGACGAGGTGGGGATGGATCAGTTTCTTCATGATGGCGATCTCCCGCTGGACCTTGTCCAGATCCGTAGTCAAACTCATTCGCCCCTCTCGATTTCGCCCAAAATTTTTTCTCCGCAGAAGCAGAGATTTGGAAAAGACCTGAGTCGGAGATCACGATAGGAAGGTGAGGGCGATGCTTTGCGTCGCAGTGCAGGCTGCGTACTGGCACGTACCTTGATAGCATAGAGATCTTTGGCGTCTTTGTCCGCTTCCTCGTCCATGGGAATTGGGGAGGGCGTGTAAGACCGAGACTCCTCGCTTGTGGGCGAGACGCCCCTTGGTGGAGAGGGACTCGCCTCTTCGCGTCTTGCCTTGGGGGAGCCTGTGCCGCTGACGAGCGTGTGGTACTCGCCTGAACCCGTTGCCATTGACTGGAAGGTTGGGTCGGTGATGGAAGGATACTGACGCTTGCAAAGCTTGACTTCTGCGAATGCGCCCCTCCCGAGCTCCTTTATTATAGCGTACTGGTTCACATTCATTAGTCCCCCCAATTCATCCTTTGTGATGGCTGCCGTTTTCGTATCCCGGGGCATCAAAGCGTCATGTCCACGGGCTTTGCGCTCGTCGTCGAGTGTTTGAAGGTGTCGAAGGACGTCAGCACTACGTCGTGAGGCTCGAGTCCGGTCACGACGGAATTCATCCCCGGAATAGGAGGCCGATCCGAGGTGGAGGGGTAAGGATGTAGGCGAGCTACGTTCATCACCATGATGGCTTGGGAAAAAAGGGTTGTGCGGTGGAGATGCTAATGAGGTAGTTTTGATAGCGATTGGTGATGTGAAACTTTGCCGCGTATCCCTGTTTCCAGACGGCATCGGAGACATAAGTGCAACGCCCGCCTTCATAAATTTGGTGCTAAGAGGTCGAGACTGATGTGAAGACGACAAAATTGGCTCGCGGCTTTCATTTTTTGTCTTTGATAGCTCGGCATCCGCCGTGTCATCTGCCATGGTTTCCTGTTGATTGAGGAGGGGGATATGCCCCTCAGGTGGAAAAATCACAAGCCAAATTGCATTTTCCCAAACTTTCTTATGTAGACTCGTGGCATAGTACAGGACCACAGGTTTCAACATTTTGTTTCAATCACCATTTTTTGTATCGGGAAGCGGACACGGTAGCGCAAGGGAGGCTGGACTTTCAACCGTTTCTTGCGTCCGTTGACGCCCGTTACGAGGAAGCGATTTGTGATGGAAAAGGGCCCCTCGTTTTAAACACCCAGGACGGCTAGAGATGACAAGCATGGTGCTTCGTATCTTACGATTGTATCCAAGTATTTACAGAGGATTTCCGCGACTTATTTTGTAGTTGAATTTCGTCCATTTAAAGAATTAGAAAGCGAGACATAGTCAACGCCAACCTCCCCCATAAACGAAAGTCAAGGTCTGTGATTGCTTTATCTGGCCCTATTAGGAGAGGTAAAGAAGAGTAAATGTTTGTATTTACACAATATGATAAGGTAGATCCAATCATTATCTAAAACCAGCTGAATTCTGGGCAACTCCGACAGCAGTGCGGAAATGCCGTTATCTCTCAAGGCAAAGGGATATATCCACGTGCCTGAAATTGCGGACGCGTGAAGTGCACGAACATTACCCCCACCTTGCCCTCCTTCAAATGTTCGGATCAATGTGTCAACTCAAAATCCGAAAAAGTCACACATCGTCTGTATCACACGCTTTTCCCGCACGGCTTCGGGATCCAAATCGTTGGGATTTAGCGACACTACGTCGTTGCCCCCGACACAATTGGCACCTTTTTCCCCTCCTCTAACAACGCTGCTTCCTGTGGTCGCGGACCGCACCATGCCTCGAGCACCCCCATTGATTTCTCCCTCTCGCATATTTGCTTGTGGAAGCGCACCCTTTGTCTGCGGG